ACTTAAAGGATTTCTGTGACTGTTAATTTACACATGTAAAATACTTCAGTAACAGACTGGCACATGGCAAGCACTCAATACTAGTTGATATTAATGAAGTGAGATGCTCCTTTTTTTTTTAAAGATTTATTTATTTTTATTGGAAAGTCAGATATACAGAGAGGAGGAGAGACAGTGGGAAAGAGAAAGATCTTCCCTCCGATGATTCACTCCCCAAGTGAGTGCAACAGCTGATGCTATGCCGATCCAAAGCCAGGATCCAGGAACTTCTTCTGGGTCTCCCACATGAGTCCAGGGTCCCAAGGCTTTGGGCCATCCTCAACTGCTTTCCCAGGCCACAAGCAGGGAGCTGGATGGGAAGTGGAGCTGCTGGGATTAGAACCCGCAACCGTATGGGATCCCGGTGCGTTCAAGGTGAGGACTTTGGCCGCTGGCTGCTCCTGTTTTTAAAAACTTCACAGCTGGACCCAGCTTGAAGGTTAAGTGTCTTAATCCTCGCCTTGCATGCCCCAGGATCCCATAAGGGCACCTGTTTGTGTCCCAGCTGCTCCACTTCCCATCCAGCTCCCTGCTTGTAGTTTGGGAAAGCAGCTGAGGATGGTCCAAAGCCTTGGGACCCTGCACCTGCGTGGGAGACCTGGAAGAAGTTCCTGGCTGCCACCTTTGGATCACTTCAGCTTCTAGTCACTTGGGGAGTGAACCAACAGATGGAAGATCTTTGTTTCTGTATCTCCTTCTCTCTGTAAATCTGCCTTTCCAATAAAAATAAATAAATCTTAACAAAATATTTCACAGCCAGGATACTGGTGTTTTCATTTGCAAGTGCATGGTTAAGTGCAATCTAAGAATATGTTAATTTTCTGGAACAGGTATTAAGTGCAGGACAAATATATTTTATCTATTCCAACACAACCAAGCTCATCAATTAAGAGAGAAATAATTGCCTTGGTTGTCTTGGTCTTTCTGTTTTAGATAATTGGCTTATACAATGACTCTTCAAACTAAACAAATAAAAAAACCACAGCAGCAAAGAAAATCTTTCTAATTTACAAAGTCCTGATATGGTTAATACTCAACCTGATCATAATCCATTCTTAGGGTAAGACATATTGTAAACCTATGCCTGCCCTAATTATACTTTCTTATAAGGGCAAGACAAATAGAACATATTAATCTTCATCTCTTCCAAGCAGGATGTCAGAATATAAAAATCAATGTGTGTCTATAAAATATGGATTAATGTCACTCCAAATTCTATGCATGGTTAGGTGTGTCTTCCCATCATTCAGAATTTTAGACTACTGATGAAACAACTGGTGAAGGGGGGAGAAAGAACCTCTACGTGTTCAGCATTGAAAACAAAGCATTAACCCGCTATACTAAATAAGGACTTCTTCAATACCAGAAAGTATTTACTACTCAAATTAAACTAAATTTGATCTTCTCAACACAATGACAAAACTAATTTGCAACTGGTAGAAGGATATCTTGTACATGGAATAAAAAATTATACTTTCAAGAGAGTATCTTTTATATTGTTTCACTTAGGCATTTACTTTTCTCAAAGAACGATCAGAAAAACAACATTAAAAAGGGCATCCATTTCATTAATTCAGTTTCAGAAAGAATATTCCCTGTGCAACATGAAATAGATTACCAAATAAAACTGTAGCTTTGCATCAATGCTACTAAAACTCCTCTGAAGCAAGCTTTGGGGAAATTAAATGGACATAAATATGCATAAATAATTCAATACATCTTAAAGCTAGTCAGGCCATATTATCTAGTTAAGAATGAGGATAAGAACTGTTTATATTCTAAATTAAGCTTTGCACATTATGTTTCCTAGGATTTCTCAAGTTTATTTAAACAAATAGTAATGTTTGCCAAATGTATACTATGGGACAAATTTTAATACAGTTCTATTAAAAGCATTATTTGTACCAACTCAGCTCATTTCTATACGAGATGTATTCCTGAAAGCATGTGCGGAAACTAATATTTAAAAACTGAATCATACTATAAACATTTTGGAAGACCTTAATACTAAAAGGGGTAAAATGTTTTTCTTCCATAAATAGTCATCACTATTTTATACAGGCAAAGCACAATTTCCAAATATCTAAGGCGCTTGATTATTTCACTTAAAACACAGTGTTAATTAATTTTAAAATCATTTATTTCATTCATTTTCATCAATCTGTATAACTTTTGTAGCATTAAACTAATGCTACTTTATAGGAAAGGAGGTATTAGTTATAAGATACATGGCTGAGTGCAAGAGCTTCCTACTTCCTCCTGGATTCTCTAATTACACAACTGTTCACTATTCAATTCTGTGCCTTTCCTCCTTCATGAAAGAACTCCTTACAAACATTCTTTTCCCAACCACAAGTACAAATGTTTTGTTACTTTTTAAGACCATATAAAAAAACGGCATTACATTTATAGGCACAGTATTACACAAATTACTACACTGGTTCAACTGGGCTTTATTAGGTGGTATGGACATATGTGGGTAGAAACTAATGAAACCAACTGTTTTGGTTAGATTTTGTTTCCCCTTCCTTTTCTACTTTTAACATAACAAAATAAAAATCAAACAGCAAAATTACTATTGTTTATCCATGGGGACATATAAACGTAACTCTATCATATTCAAAAAAGATGTTATAAAGGCATTCAGTAACATATCTTATCCACCCAACAAAAGTACTTGTCAAGTTCCTTGGAATCATTTCTGTAATACAGTAAAAATCTATTTTAATAAAGAATCCTGTTTATTTGCTGAATAATCTAAAACACTTTTTCTAATATTTCAGCAACTAGTTATAACAAAAAATGCAACCTACACAATACAATGACCAAGGAAGCTTTCTCCTGGTCATATAAGGTCTAGAGTAAAGAAGACAGACAAGGGTCAGAGAACATAGTGATGAGAGGAGAAAGCGTGGGAATGGAAGCACCTGTTTAGAAACAACCACGGTTAAAGAGTGAAATACAGCCTCCTAAGGAGCAGCCATTGAGTCAACATTAGCTGTTATTTTCCTATGCAATGTGTCCGAAGACACTTTCCAAATAACCATGCGAAGCTCACAATATCTTAACAAGCCACATGCTTAAATAGAGGTTGTAATTGAAGTATTCAGTGATTAAAGAAGAGGCACTTCTTCAAGAATCCAAAAAAGGACATGTTTTAATTAACTCATTCATTCATATCTGAGAAGCAGAAGAGACAGATGGAGGCAGAGATCTCTTATGAACTGGTCTGTTCTCCAGAGGCTCTGTAAGACCAGGACTAGTCCAGGCCAAAGCTGGAGACCAGGAACTCAATTTCAGGTTTTCCATGTGGTTGGCAAGGACTTAAACTACATGAGTCATACTGCTGCTTCCCAGGGTACACATTAGCAGGAAGCTGGAATCGTGAATGGAGCCAAGACTCCAATCAAAGCACTCTGTTAAGGAATCAATATTTGATTACTAGCAAATATGTTGACTTTACGATATCTATTTAAATTGCCATTCATTCTTTGGAGTAGATTTTACATTCTAAAAAAAAGTCATTAAAAGATTTTTTAACCTTTATTTACATAAAATTCAAACAAAGGAGTTGGAATAGAATATAATAGCCTAAGGATGAACAAGTTGTCCAGTTTTATGGCTGACCTGTTCCATTCCCATTACACAAGTCATCAGCTGTTGCTTCCCCAGGAACACTAGCTGGGAGATGCATTGGAAGCAGAGTTCCTGAGACTTGAACCAGTGCTGCAAGCCCTTCTCTCTGTGTACTTCTGCTATAACTGGGCACAGGTGTTTAGCAAATACTTCAATGAGGACCAAGATGGGTTTAGAAGAGTTAACAGAGAGGACTAAGTACATTCTTGAAGGAAGTCAGTATTAAAGGCAAAACATCTGGTATTTTGAGGACTTGACCATTCTTCTTGAATGACAGGTAAGGGGTAACACACAGAGGAATGATGGATAAGAACTCAGTCATTATGAGGGTTAGTGAAGGAGACAGGAAGAACCAAAACAAATGGAGGAATACATAAAATATAAGGCATGAAAGGTGCTATAAAAGGAAACCAGTGTTCTGAAGTAGCAAGTTAAGCTATTGCCTGAGATGCTGCTACCCCCATGGATGTCCAGATCCCAACAGCTCCATTTCCGGTCCAGCTCCCTGCTAATGTGCCTGGGAAAGTAGCAGAGGATTGCCAAGTGCTTCAGTTCTTACCCAGAAGCAGCTCCAGCCTTCTGGCTTTGGCCTGCCACAGCATCAGCTGTTGTGACCATTTGGGGGAGTGAACCATGGATGTAAGATCTTTTTCTGTCTCTCCCTCCTTATCTCTCTGCAACTCTTATTTTCAAACAAATAAAAACACATCTTAAAAAAAAGAATAATGCTAAGAAGGAAGCAGTAGGACATTGGGGAAGGAAGGAAGTCACCAATGTTAACCCTGAGATGAACTCAATGATGAAGCAGTAACTCTCAAAGTACAAAGTTGCAACTTTTTCAAGACAAAGAAGCAAAGTCCTGACTTGGGAAAGATTTCCTGGAGTTAAGTAACTCAAAATTTAGATTTAAAGAGGCTCCATCTTGTTGCAGTAAGGAGTAGATCAGAGAAGACAAGAAGTTGGTTGGGAGACCTGGATCAGTTGGCCATTTGTCTTTATACAAGAGTACTATCCATGCCTCCCTTCATGCTTTCACAAATAGCTAACACAGCCTTAGCAGAAGTTAGAAGAGCTGGGATAACAGCTCTGTGGAGGCACACGAAAAAATAAGTGTAATAATGTTTTAATTGTCATCAGATTTATTATGCACACTAAATTTTTCAATATTAAATTTGAGAATATTACAAAGAAATTTAAAAGACAAGGATAAGAAAGCTCCAATTACTTTAAAAGATGTTTTAAAGATATATAACAATAACTAAAGGCATTTAAATTTCTCTCCACACGCAACATAATTACACTTCCGATGACGATTCCGCCATTACCTTAGACAAATCCCGGAAGTTGCTTGGCAAGGTCAGATCCAGTTCTTCTGATTCATAATTAGTGATGACCCAAGGAAACACTGGATACTGGTTTAAGTCATTGTAACTCCTTCCTAGTGGGGTGGGAGGAATCAAAGTGAAATGACAAATTCATAAATAAGTTAGAAAACTACAATGCAAGTAAAAGATGAGACAGCCATCAGTATTTCTATAGCAGTTTTCTGGATAATATTTTAGGGAGGCACCAGAGTGCATATCAGCATAGTGTCTGAAGTCAAAATGTGGACATTTAAACCCTAGCTCCACTCCTCACTAGTCCATAAGTTGTTTTCAGTGAGTTGTATCTGAGTAGATTTTGAGGACTAAAATACAAAGGAGAGAGGCTCACTAATACTGTCTCAATTCCTATCTTATTGTGTATTTGATCATCTTCATTTCTTTTTCTTTCTAAAACAAATACTGAGGTCATATCGCTACCCGATGCATACCCAGTCAAGCAGTCCTCTACAGATGTTCTTGGTATCTAAGCCATTTTCCACTTTCATGATTTGATGCTTTTAGTGTTTTATTTACTCCTTTCATATCAGGCTTCAGGTCTGTTCAGGTAATAAAAATTTTTTTTGACTTGTAAACAGTCTTACAACATATGAATAACAGGACAATTTTAATTCAGAGTTCATTATGTCACTACATATTCCTGCCAATAATTTTTGATTCTACCAGAAAAAAATAACTGAATTTGGAAGCAAAAAGCAGTCTTTTCAGACTCCACTCTTCCACTCTACTTTCTTTTTCCTTCTGAGTGAGATATAAGTAAAACAGTAAAATCTTCATTGTGTCCCATCTGCTTAAAGAATCTGAAACAGTCAAGAGTTTACAGCGCCTTAAAAAGAGATCATGTACCAGCTCAGTGTGACTTGATGTTTAATTTAGCTAAATTCCATCTATAATTGCTGGGTGCCTACTGCTGTCATTTGAGAAATACATTGTGACATCACGAGAACCGATGGGTGGCGCAGACAATAAGGCAAAACGAGCCTTTTTATACGTTTTTATTTTGATGTACTTTTGAAAGACTTATTTATTTATGTGACTTGAAAGCCAGTGATAGAGACAGAGATGGGCTAACAGCAATGTTCCACTCACTGTGTCGCTCTACAAAGGTCTACAATAACTGGGCTGGACCAGACTGAAAGCAGGAGCCAGCAACTCCATCCAGGAGTGCAGCTGAGACCCCATACTCAAGCCGGCAGCTGGTGCCTCCCTGGTGTACCTTAGCAGGAAGCCAGAGTCAGAAATGCAGTCAGGACCAGCAGGTGGTATCTTCACCACGGTGCCAGAGCCTGCTGCCAATTTAGACTCTCTCATGCTGAGCCGAGCCCCCCACTTCCAATTCTTCATGACACTTCAGCTCTCTTCTCCAGTTCCCTACAAGGGTCTATTTTCTTTGATAAGAGAAATGAGCTTTTTGTCTTTTTTTTTTTTTAAGACAGAGAAAATTATACTCTCTCTCTCTTTCACACACACACAAACACACACACAAGGCAAAGAGAGAGAAAGAATATCTTCCATTTACTGATTCACTCCTCAAGAATGGCTACAATACCTAAGGTTGTGAGCTGCAAAGCCAAGAGCCCAGAGCTTCATCCAGGTCTCCCCTGCGGGCAGTAGCATCCCAAGTTCTTGGTCCATCCTCAGCTACTTTTCCCAGGTGCCTTAGCAGGCAGCTGAGTCAGAAGTGGAGCAATCAGGACTCCATACTCCTGCTCTGCTCTGGGATGCCAGCATTGAAAACGGCAGCTTAGCTTGGAGTACAACACCAACCCCTCAGGTGGCTCTTGAACTTCTCTTTCTCATAACTAGAATGACCTCTTCTCATTTTTTGTCCATTTTTCATGGTTTCTCACCTCCGCCTTAAAACCCATCTCCTCTTTACTATCACATTTAAGAAAGCTGTTATCAACTTCCTAAGTTTCCAATGTCACCTCAAACTATTATACCTCATCATCAACTTTTTGGCTTGTGTTGGAAATGAATCCGTGTGAAGTAACCAATTCAGTCTCAGAAAGCCGAACACCAAGGTATCCTGTTCTTAGCCTTCCTTCTTCCATCTCTCCATGATGTTTGGCACAAGTGAAAAACACCTTGCCCTTTCTTCTTGTCTTCTTAAGATATGAATAGATAAACTGCAGGATTACTCATTCTTCCTCTCCCTTCCCAACCTCCCTCTTCCTCCATCTTCTCATACAACAAGAGTATGTTATATGATCACTTTCTGTGTCACTGCTGCTCTTCTCTGTTAGCAACTTCCATTCTAACCCAATGTTCAAACTCCAGGTTCTCTCTCTTTTTTTAAAAGATTTATTTTTATTATTTTTTTATTGAAAAGGCGGATACACAGAGAGGAGAGACAGAGAGGAAGATGATTCACTCCCCAAGTGAGCGCAACGGCCAATGCTATGCTGGTCCGAAGCCAGGAGCCTCTTCCGGGTCTCCCACGCGGGTTCAGGGTCCCAAAGCCTTGGGCCGTCCTCGACTGCTTTCCCGGGCCACAAGCAGGGAGCTGGATGGGAAGCGGGGCTGACGGGATTAGAACCAGCGCCCATATGGGATCCCGGTGCAAGGCGAGGACCTTAACCACTTGCGCCACTGTGCCGGGCCCAAACTCCAGGTTCTCAACATTCTGTTTGGCCTACACTTCCAGAGCTGATTACTGTCACCTCAATCTGGAAGTGCTGCCATGACAAAGGCCACATTTCTGATAATGACACTCCCATTCCTGCGGTGACTGAGGCCCAGAACCCTCGAAGCTTTCTCTGACACGTCATTTTTTTTAATTCACAACCCTCAGTCAGTTGCGCTTGCACAGTTGGTGCCTTGTGAACTTTTGTATTTGGGTCCTTTCTCTTAACTTCTGCTGTTATCTCTCTAACACAGTCCCTTACTGGATTTTATATGCAGCTGCTTCCTAGCTTGGTTCTAGGCTTCTCTCTCCCCACCAATGTCTTACTTATTGCTTTCGAGCCAACTTTTCCAATAAAATTCTAGCATTGCCACGGATGCACTCAGAAACTTTCAAAAGTTTTTTTCAAATGAATGTAATGTTAACCTTTCAGACTGCTATAAAACATTTCATAATATGTCTACCTGATATTTTCATCTTCTCCATATGTGTTTAATATTTACTTATATATATTTTCTCATTATACCATAACTATATGCTTTACATACAACACACAGATACACACACACAAATCATACTCTTTTTCCCTAGCTGTACTGACTTTCCCTCCTTTGAATGCTTGCCTATGCTTTTACTTTTATGTGACTGACTTATAAATTCCAAAGTCTTTTTGATACCCACCTACTGAAATCTTTCTGTATTTTCTCCTTATTCCCACCAATGAGATAAGAATGATTTCTCCATCCCCCTGCTTTTAACCTGTAACATACTCCATCTATAAAGTTAGCATTTTATACAGGTCTTCATTCCTACTATTTCCAAATGAGTTCATTTCAACTATATCAAATAATTGTAAATTCCCATTTTTCTTTTCTATTTGAGAAAGAGCCCTTATACCTATTTTACATTTCTCTCAGGTATCCAAGCGCTCAGATATAAAATCAAAAATTTGGGCCCAGCACAGTAGCTTAGTGGTTAAAGTCCTTGACTTGCATGTACCAGGATCCCATATGGGCACTGGCTCATGTCCTGGCTGCTCCACTTCTCTTCTAACTCCCTGCTTGTGGCCTGGGAAAGCAGTGGGGGATGTCTCAAAGCCTTGGGACCCTGCACCCACATGGGAGACCCGGAAGAAGCTCCTGGCTCTTGGCTTCGGGTTACCTCAGCTCTAATTATTGTGGCCACTTGGGGAGAGAATCAGCAGATGGAAGATCTGTCTCCTCTTTCTGTAAATCTTTAAAAGTTGGAAATCTTATTATCGATTCTATTATCAAGTACATTGATAAGGCAACCTAGCATTAATGGTTAACAATAAAAACGGGCTACTCATATAGGAGTTGGAGTAACATATCACAGTTAACTATTTACTGTTTGAAAGAAGTCAAAGTGTAGGTTGAGATTACCTGCAATCGTGTTTAGAAACATCAAGTACTCAAAGTTTGAGATCTCTCTGTGCTGCCATCGTTGGGTCATGTTAGAAGCTTTGAAAAGCTGACGTGGACTAGCTAATGAAATACGCCTGCAAGAAAAGAAAGCCAATGCACATAAATGTAAGGATGAGTTGTATCTCAATAATGAATCATGAGTTATCTGTGTTTATTAATAATGAAATATATAAATCTGAGAAGTTTTATTCGTGTTAGACTAGTGAACACTGGAGATAGTTCAAGCTACATTTAATGGTTGACAAATGATTCGGACAAGCCACGTGCCTACTATAAAAGTTCCATTCATTGAGGGTAACTGTCATTACAATGTTATTAAAATATCCAAAAGTTGATTAATAGTAGTATGATTACTAATTCACTGATTTACTGACAAAAACGGATCTTACAAATTTTTAATTTATAATTGCAAAAACCTGTAAAAAGGTAGAAGAATAGAATTCCAAACTATTTTGTTATCTATTTATGCAAAGAGATGAACTACTGAGTTTGTAAAATACTACTTAACACAAGACCAGGAATATAGATATCAAAGGATACAAATGATCAATACTAAGAGTAATAGCAAACAGGTGTCAAAATTACCACATTCAAAGTCTAGAATCTGGGCTTGGTACAGTAGCCTAGCAGCTCAAGTTCTAGGCTTGCTTGTGCCAGAATCTCATATTAGCGCCAGTTTTAATCTCAGCAGCCCCACTTTCCATCCAGCTTCCTGCTTGTTGCCTGGGAAAACAGTCAAGGATGGCCCAAATCTTGGGACACTGCACCTGCATGGGAGACCCGGAAGAGGCTCCGGCCTCCTGGCTTTGGACCAGCACAGTTCTGGCCATTGCAGCCATTTGGGGAGTGAACCAGTGAATGGAAGATCTTTCTGTATCTCCTTCTCTTTGTTTATCTGCCTTTCCAATAAAAACAAATAATCCTTTTTTTTTAAAGAACCCTTCAGCAACATTAGATATTTTTGAAAACGTTATGCATTACTTTGTTGAAAATTTTTTAAAAATTAAAAATAGGTTTAGCAAAGGAAAAACAAGGAAATAAGAAACATGAAACATCTAATATGTTCCTCTCTGTGTCTCCTCTTCTCTGTGTATCTGACTTTGCAATAAAAATAAAATCAATCTTTTAAAAAAAAAAGTCGAGAATCTAAGAGATCTATGCCTTCACATTTAGTTTTAAAACAAAACTGTATTTTAAAAGAGATGATGCACAGTCAGTTCATATGCCATAAAATGTTGTCATTCTAAGTACTCATAATTCATTTTAAAAAAAAATCACTATACAACTGGCCTTGTCTTTTTACTGTTCATCACTATTCCTGTCTCTAGCTCCAAGTAACTGTCAGTTTGTTTTCTTTCTGGATAAACTTGCTTTTTTTGGAAATTTCAGATAAGTAAAATTATCCATTAGGTTATTTTTGTGCCAGGCTTTTTTCACTAACCACAATATTTTTAAGGTTCAACACAGCTTATCCATGCTGAATTTTATTCCTTTGCATAAATATTGAATAAATAATATTTTTCTTCGAAATGGTTGATGGACATTTAAACTGCTTCCGGTTTTCAGTTATTGTGACTAATTCTACCATAAACATTCACATACAAACATACATTTGCCTTTCTTTTGAGTAAATTTCCAGGAACAGAATTGCTGTGTTGTATGTTAAGTTTAACCTTTAGAGATGTTGCCAAATCGATTTCCAAAATTCCTAGACCACTGGACACTCCATCCAGCGATGTATGAGGGATTACTATGCAGTTGCCAATATTTACTATTCGATATATTTTCATTATACCCATTCTAGCTTGTGTGAAATGGTATCTTCACAAACTTTTAATGTCCACTGTTGGGCATCCTTTTGCATGATTAGTAGTCATTTCTTTATCTCCTATAGTGAAATGACTGCTGAAATCCTTTCATGAATTTTGCTTTATAACTGAGTTTTGTTGAGTTTTTATACATCCTGGATAAAAGTCTGTGACAGCTAATTTGAATGTATCAACTGAACTGGACTGAAAAATATCCAGAAATCGCTGGTATACCATTATTTCTGGGTGTGGCAACGAATACATCTCCGGAGAGATGAGCAGGGTCAGGTGCCTGAGTGAAACACACGGCTAACTCCACCACGAGTGGGCATCATTCTAAGCACTGCAGAGAACAGGAAGGGTGAATGTCCTCCTTTCACGGCGCTACAGCTTCTATCTTCTCCTGCCTTTTAGACAGTGCTACTCCTGGTTCTGTTCCCCAACTGTTCCACCCATCCTCAACCCCATTCTCAAGCCCTGGGGTCTTGTGCATGGCCACTGGCTCTCCCTGCCTATCCAAACCTCAAGTTTTAGCTCTTGCGTATAGGTAAATTAAATGTTTTGAGTCCTTATAAACAGCACATAATAGGCATTAAAATTTTCCCACATGTACACCTCCAATTTGAGCCACTACCATTTTTAAAGACTAATTCTGTCCTTCTACAAAACTGAGTATTTTCACACTTTCATTTCATTTCATTTCACTGTTTCATTAATTTGTGCTTATTTTTGTACAAATCCCAGACTCTCTTAATTAGAGGGATTTTACAGTAGAGTTTTTAAATTTAGTAATGCAAGTTGTCTATTCCTGTCCTTTTCCAAAAAGCTATTTTAGATGTAACTTCAGTTTGTAGGTTTTCCCAAGAAGGGCTGCTAAGATTTAGACAGGGACTGAATTAATTAGTAGATCTGGGGACAGCAGTCATCTGCCTCACACTAAATCCCCTGATCCATGAGACACTGCTTGTGTCCATTTGTTGAGGTCTGCTTTAAACTTTCAGAAATGGTTTATATTTTTCATTGTACAATTCTAACATTTCCTGTGTGTTTTTTACTTGACGGCTCCTTTTCCTTACTTTCCAATCTGGATCGCTTTCATTTTCTGTCCTTCCTGCCCTTCAACATGTCCTTCCTTGATACATACACCAACGCTTGCCAATGAAATGCTGCACAGAAATGCTGAGAATGGAGGACATTTTAATTTTCCTGAATACGTGAGGAAACGTTTGGATCTTTCACCATTATGTAATTAAGTATGATGTATACTGTGGGAGCTGTGGCAGATCTTTCTTTAATGTGGTGGTGGGGGGATGTGGAAGGACAGCCCGGGGAGAGAGCACTTCCACCTGCTGCCATGGCTGCTGTGGCTGGGAGTGGGCTGAGCAGACTGAGCCAAAGGTGGGAACCAGGAACTAAATGTAGGTCTCCCAAGTGAGTGCCAGGGATGTACTGCTACAGCCAGCATGGGCTGCCTCCTTCAGTATGCACTATGGGTAATGTTTTTCTTTTTCCATACTTTTATTTAAATGAGAGACACAGAGCCTCTCACCCATTCTTTCTTGGCTCACTTTCTCTGCAGGACGCCCACGGCCACATCACGTACACAAGTAGCAGAAACAGAGGCGGCCATGGTGAGGGACTGAGGCTCCTGAGTGAGGCATCTTGGGAAGTCTCCCAGCTGAGGCACCTGACAGGCCCCTACTACATCCTCCTTACTACTCGGACATTTGAACTTTCAAACACTCACATTAGCTGTCTCGAATCAATGCCTAATTAGCTATGATAAAAGTAAAATATAAATTTTCCACTGCTAATAGGCTTGTCAGTAGGAAAATTCTAGTTGTCTTCATTCTTCCCATTCCTTAAAATAGCTAGCTAAACTGCATTGATGTTCACTTAACATTTGCTACAAAAGGAAACAGGATTGCTTAGCTGTCAGGAACGAGGGAATAGGGGCATGAGAAGATATTGGTTTAACGCTAGAACAATGATAATAACACAACATCATAATAGTTAATGAAATACTGAATATCAGCTGAGAGAAAAAATTATAAATGTTCTCAGCACACAAAAAGAGTTACCTCTGTGAAGTGATGGTTTGTTGACAAACTTTATCGTAGTAATCATTCCACAATGCACAAGGCTGTTTAAAAAGTTCATGGGAAATGCATAATACGAAAAAGTGATGCATAAATTTCAAATTTTTTCGCACTAAAAGAAACCTAATATGATTTCTGTTTCCATGAAATCATGAAGCACCCTTGTAAAACTCTTCAAAGTGGTCTTCTATTTCTGTGGTTTCTACTGTAATGAGTCACCTCTCTTTTCTAATCTAGCCACAGATCTGATTTTGGTTATCCTTCCAAAAAAGACAACCTTAATTTCATTGATCTTGAACATGTTTTTATAGTTGCCAATTTTGTTTTTCTGCCCAGATTTCTCCCCCCCTTCTTTCCTTCTACTAATCTTGAGCTTAGTTTAAAAAAAAAAGCTGTAAAAATGTAGTAATCTCATACACAAGGTCCATTAAGTGAAAAATGCAATGCAAAGCTCTGGTTGTGAATGATTCCAATTACACTGGTAAAATGTTTTAGGCATTAAAAATGTTCTCAATTTCACAATATTTGGATTGCAGATAAATTTTGAAATCATTTATTATACTATAACAAAAGCATATAAGACCTAAGTTATTAAATTTAATGTACTTTTATGAAATAAATAAAGCTAGGTAATCATCATGTCACTCAAGAAACAGATCTTCATCAGTCTTCCAAAAGTTCTCTTATGTCCCCACTCAAGCATCACCACTCACAGGTCAGCCATGTGATGTGGCAATTAAGACACTGCTTGGGTAATCCATATTCCATGAGAGGGCCTAGGTTTAGGCTTCAGCTCAGCTTTCAATGGTTACTTCCTGTTAATGCACACCCTAAGAGGCCACAGATAATCACTCAAGTACTTGAGAACCAAAAACCCATGTTGGAGACTAAGAATGAGTTCCAGACTCCCGGCTTTGACCTGGTCTGGCCAGAGCTATTGCAGGTATTTGGGAAAGGAACAAGTAGATTGAGGTGTTTATCTGTTTTTTATTTTTTTTCCTACACCTCTTTCACTCAAATATAATTAATTTTAATATAATTAAATTTTAAAATAAATAAAATGAGGATTCCCAATCAGCAAAAATAGCTTGGTATCCAGACAACTACCACCAGAGATTAGTTTGAACTGTTTCCAAGTGTTATGGAAGCAGAATCATTTGTTTTGGCTTTCTTCACCTAACTCATCCATGAGGCCACATGTAGCAATAACTCACTGACTTTCATTGTTGTATATTCTTATTGTACAATTATACCACAAGTTACTAATCATCATTTTGTTGGCTGACTTAGGGTCTTTTCTAGTTAGAGGCTATGCGGAATAATGCGAATGTGAACACTTTTGTATATGCATTCTGGTTAATATATGTACACATTTCTGTTGGACCTTTTCCTGGGAATGAAACTGTCAAATTATAGGGCACAATGTATGTTCAATTTTACTCAGTATTTCCAAAGATTTTTCCAAAGTGGTTACACAAATACACACTTTCCCTCCCCAGGAGTGCAAGAATTCTGGATCCCACAACTGACCTAATGCCTGCTATTGTTTCTTGCCTTATCATTTGGCTACTGTATTCAGAACACGGAGACATCACACTACATTTAAAAAAAATTTTTTAGTTGCTCTTTTGAGATTTATTTATTTTTATGGGAAAGGCAGATTTATAGAGAGAAGGAGAGACACAGAGAAAGATCATCTATTTGCTGGCTCACCCCAAAATGGTCACAATGACTGGAGGTGAGCCAATCCAAAGCCAGGGGTATCTTCCAGGTCTCCCACGCGGGTGCAGGGTCCCAAGATTTGGGCCGTCCTACACTGCTTTCCCAGGCCACAAGCAGGGAGCTGGATGGGAAGCGGAGTATCCAAAAGATGACCTGGTACCCATATGGGATGCCAGCACATTTTTAATAGCAAAATTCAAAGCATAAGTAAATCATGTGAATTTGAGTAAAAATCACATATCATAATATGACATGTTCTATGGCTTCTTCCTAAAGATAATTTAAAATGTAAAAAGTTACAGTATTTATCAAACAGATAAGAAGTATATCCTGTGAAATGTCTTCATGTTAGTGCTTGGAAATGTTAAGGAATATTTCGTATAATGATTACTTCCTGAGCTCACACTGTGAGGGATGCTCTAAGTACCGCAATTCAATTTACTCAAAATACAACTTAACACAATAGTAAGCATAATTTACCATCAAATATAAAATGGGTCATGCATTTCAAAGTATGTAAGAATATTGAAACGGATTAGTGCCAGTGAAATATTAAGAGATGAGTCATAAGAATATTACTACAGATTATTTTCATGATTCTGTCACATGAACAGTACCTTGTTTGAGGCAATCCAAAACTGGTTCCAACTCCAACACGTGGTAGATAGTTAACCACTTTCTTTACAGTTGCAGGGTCTGGGAAGTTGAACATTACAGCAACTACGACAGATCATTTGTAAAAAATTTTATTCTAATAAAATATTTATCCTTAATTCAGATATCTACTAAACAGAATTCTTTCATTACAATGCATACCAGCTTTTAGTTTTACTATGCCATTGGCAATGTTCATTTCACTTACAAGCTGCTTCACCACAGATAGTTCCTTCCCTTCCCTATACATTCTTAGAATTTCCAATACAATTCTTGTTGTATTAATGTGACATGATGCTGAGATGCTCTTACTGCAAGTACGAATCTACAAAACTGAATTTTAGCAAAACAAATATGTTTCTGTGAATTAAAAATTTTTTAATATTAAATTTATACAGTTACTGTAACACCAAAACCACAACAGACATAGCTATAAAATCATCCATTATACTTATTTCCAATAATGAAGAATATAAAAGTATTATCTTTACAATAGTTTTCAGCTTATACTTCACAGGTTCATGTAACTCAGAACCATGGATAACTTAAAGAAAATGTTTTCCTCCATGAAGTCATATTTAAATGCTTTCTAATAATTTCCATTTCATTGATTTTACATGTATGAGAATATTAGCAAGTAATAAACAAACACTAAGCATCTAAACTGTTCTTTAGGTTAGTCATGTACTAATTTTAATTCCTCTTGAAAAATCACAAAAATAAAGCTATAAAATCATGAGGCAAGATCTGTAAGGTTATTGATTTCAACAGTCTTGAGAATTCAGTCCCATGTTAGTATGCACACCAGAAGTGCACATGCTCCTCCTCAGGTGCTCCCCTACAAGGTGCTCCTCCTCAGGTGCTCCCCCACAAGGTGCTCCTCCTCAGGTGCTGCCCCACAAGGTGCTCCCTCACAAGGTGCTCCTCCTCAGGTGCTGCCCCACAAGGTGCTCCCCCACAAGGTGCTCCTCCTCAGGTGCTGCCCCACAAGGTGCTCCTCCTCAGGTGCTGCCCCACAAGGTGCTCCTCCTCAGGTGCTGCCCCACAAGGTGCTCCCCCACAAGGTGCTCCTCCTCAGGTGCTGCCCCACAAGGTGCTCCTCCTCAGGTGCTGCCCCACAAGGTGCTCCTCCTCAGGTGCACAGGCACCCATGCTGCTGCAGGCTCGAAACACTGGCATCAGCAGCAGAGTACAGCTAATGAAACAGCCCATCATACACAAAGCACCTACAAAACAGCTCAGCACTTACATGAGCATTCCTTTTAAATCCACTATTACATTGGCTACGGGGGATGGGGAATGATCCTAGGACATGGCAGATGACTCGAGCCATGAGGAAAAGGCTACAGAAATGTATACTCCAGACACAAGTATATATCAGAGCAGGAAAATGAATCAGGATGAACAAACCACAAATGTGGAAGGCTCCAATCCCTTTGGAGCAGGAAGAGTGCAGAGGGAACTAAAGCAGTAAACACCCCCTTGATGGTTTTGTTCAAAAGGATAATGTGTGCATCAGGAAAGAGGCAGATGCTGGGGAGAAGTTCACCTCGGCAGGAGCACATCCTTCCCTCAAGGAACTCTGTATTCCTTAGAGATGTATTGTCATAGAAGAAAATAAAACGTATACATAGGAACATTTCACTATGTGCAAGCTTAAGAAAATAACTACTTGCAGATTGCAGAAAAAAATAAGAAACAATTAACCTTCAAGTTTCTAATAATAGACAGAAGAACAAGTAAATACATTTGCTTATCCTTGCCTGGCCCTAAAGGCAACCACCTTCCAGAAGGAGCCGAAGCATCCAAGCAATGCCAAAGGCATGCAAACTCCCTAACTCACTAGATGGATACTTATTCCTCATATTTATAAAGCTTTGCACAATCAGTAATATGGCCAGAAAAGAAATAAACAGAACTAAAATTGATCACGGGGAAAAAAACCACCAATGCATGTGGTACAACATCCGGGGTCAGTAGGAGAGAGGGGAGATGACAACAAGGCATCTAATTGGAAACACTGCTGTATGCGCCCGACTGAAGTCCTAGCAGGAGGGAAGTCAGCTGTGTAACAAGGTCCTTGTGCAACACATTACCTCTGTTGGCCATAAAGATCTCCAGGGCTGTATTCTGCAGCAGATAACGACGAGAAAAAACTGACCGTATCTCTGAGAACAGCCATTTTCCATGAAGTCCCTCTGTATAGGCCAGGATCTAGCAAAGGAAGAAACAATAATACCCAGTAAGTGACAATACAAGAATTAAAGCAGAAAAGGCCCCTCGAAGAACAGCAATTTCTACAAAAAAAAAAAGAATTTAATAGTTACTGTTAATAGTTCAGAGGGAAAACCAAAACCAAAAAAGAAAAATTTATTATAATTTATGGAAAAGAATATTAATGAAAAAGTAGCATCAGATTATAAAGCATTAAATTATAAATATGTATTTGAATGTCTAAAAACAATTATACAATCTACTGCTTCTCAGAAAATATATGTTGTATCAACTGAGTGTGAAAAGTAATTTTGTTAAAAAAGACCTCAAAAGATTACCAAGGACACAGATAAAATCCAGTTTCATCCAATATTATAATTTGCTCGACAGAACTTTCTGCATATTTTATATTGCACAGGACAGTTCCTGACTCCCAAAGCATGCTCACTTTTAAGCACATAGTCACTCAGAAAGCGTAAGGACTGTATGAGGTTAAGTGTCATTTTGTCAGCCAAGGCTCAATACAAACCTGCAGATGAACTCAGCATAATCTCTCTATGGAGGATGTGGTTGTCCGAGTAACTTGTTACAATTCCTGTCATCCCGTGTGACAGACACAGTTGCTTAAAATGCTTTGCCAATTCAAAGTAATCCTGTCTTTACTACTAAGCCACTTGGTTGCTTTGTTAGTCAAGCTTTTTTTCTTTTTTTTCAAAAAGTTCATTTCAGAAGTTTAATAGTGTTGGGAATGCTAGATTCAGCATTTCTCTAAGCCAGTACAGTTTAACATTAATAAAGAAAGTAAGATGCATTTGCTATCGAAAGATGATGAAAACCTAGGCAAGCAAAGTAGGCCAAAAATGAAGATACAGCTTTCGGAAGCAATTACCACCAAAAAACATAAAGAAAATCATCTTTGAAAATCATCTTTTAGGCAGAATAAAGGAGAACAGAAGAAAGGAAAACAATGAATACCAAGAATTTGTCATTTCACAAACTGTTTCTAATCATTTTTGTTTTGCAAATCCCAAACACAAGCAAATCTAAATTCTTCAAATTCAAACGCAATTTCCCAGAGGGAAAAAACCCTTCATTAATTGAATAAGTATGAATTTCCATTTCTCTACAGAAATGATTCTGTTTCCAACATGACCGGATCTGGAAAATGGGTACAGTTCTAAGGCGGAGTGTTTTTTGCAAACCAAAAGTAAGCAAGTTCCAAGCACAACCATCACATGAGCTTTCAGTTCTGACTGCACTGACAGAAATCCTGCTGACTCAGTCACACAACCAGCAAGTGTGAAGGACCAAGAGAAGTTCAGCGAGGACAAAAGGTCTAGTAATACAACCAAGACATTTTAAAATTACTTCTTTATTTTCATATTAGTCGAGACACAGAGATCTGCCTTCATTGTTCAGTCCCCAGAAGCCTGCCAACAGACAGGGCTAGGTCAGGCCAAAACCAGGATTCTGGAACTCGAGCCAGGTCTCCAGAGGGGACAGGACTTGAGCCACTACCAGCTGGTGCTCAGGGTCAATCTCAGCACAAGGCTGGACTTGGAGCCAGGCACTGTGACGTGGGGTGAGTGTTTCCTCAGCAGCTTCTTAGCACCTGGCCCAACACCTGCCTTTCCAGACATTTGTAAAAAGCAGAACTGGCATATATACCTTTCTTTCACTGTGACCATAGGCACCGTGCCTCAGTGTACACCACAAGGGTTCACAGTGGTTCCCCATCTGGCCTCCCTTTTGTTCTTACCTCTAAAATCTACAACCAGTGACGAAAAAAACAAAACAACCCTTTTCTTAATCAGATAACACCACTCCTGTATATCATCCAGTGACCTCCCATTACATGTAAAATAAACTCTTCGGAATTGTTTATATAGCCTTACATTTGGATCCTTCTCATGAGCCAAACTCATTCCGCTGTGGGGCCCCGAGGTTGTGCTTGCTTTCCCCTCTGCCTGGAATGCTCTGCCCCCAAGTCTCCACGTGGTCCGCTTATTCTCAGATTCTGATTTCTGCTCAGTGTCACCTGCTCAGAGCATCTGTACAATCCACACCTCAGCCCAAATTCTTCAGGCTGTTCTTCGTGACGGTTAGCACTTTCTGTAGTTGTACTGGCTTGTCTATAGCCTCTGCTGCACTAGAACCCTAGCATATAAGTTGTATTGGAGTAGAGTCTGAATCCACTCCATTTCTAGTGTATTGGAAAATACTTAACCAGAAGTAGCTTTTTTTTTTTCCCTGAGTGATTGAGTGAAATGAAAATATATTGTAATCAATGACCTGAGTTAATATGGCCTAAGTTAATTTTGCCTAGCCTGTATGGTATTTTTTTATATATCCACTTTTTGAGAGGCAAAGAGAGCAACAGACACACAGATAGACAGAGGGGGAGAGAGAGGGAAAAAGCTTTCCCATTCACTAGTTCATTCCCCCAAAGCACACAAGACGGGTTCTGGGATGGGTTGGATCCAGGAGCTGAGCTCTAGTCTCCCGTGTTAGTGTCAGGGACTTGAATGCTTGAGTCTGCTCTGATAGGGAGATGCAGGCAGGAGCCAAGGTTGCGACTTGATTTCATGCACTTGCAGGTGGGAACAAGAAGGCTCCATGACTGTTCTAGCTGGCCTACACAATGCTTTCAAAAAAGGTCAGGTAGCTTAAAATACTGAGAAAAAAAATGCATATGACATAAATATTCTGATTTTTGGCTTCTCAGGAAAAACTGAAAGTTGTGGCAAACCTTAATCCATATGCCACATGAACTCTCCATTTTGACAGTTCCACTTCCCTCATTACTAATATGAAATAAGCATTAACTCACTTGCTATCACCTGCCTAGTTTCCATTGACAAATGAGCTTGCCACCCTGGATTTACCAAATATTACAGAATCTAATATATGTTCTCTAACTCTTATAAATCAACATTCAAAACTATTCTATTTCTAAGAAAAATGAGGCCCAGACATGTTACATACTTAATACAAATTACTCTGGCAAGTTAGTGGCAGAATGTGGCCTATTCTCAGGTTTTCCAAACCAAAAGTCCACACCACATTTATAGATATACATAAAAAAAAGGTTAAAATATTTGTCCAACTACAACTCATCCACATTTGTTTTCCTGCACTTGGATTATAAGAGGAGGAAAGCAAGAGAAAACAATAAGAAACCTGCAAGCTTTGAGATCTGCTAGGAACATCACACACACACACACACACACACACACACACACACACACAGGACTACAGTCTACCCCATATACCTGCAAAGTTATAAAATAAGAGGTGATGTTAATAGCAAAGTTGCTATTCATTGCAAACGCATGGTCATGCAACTAAAGATTCAATTACACTCTAGAGTACTTCATTTATTAGCAGAACTATATACACTAAATCAACATTCAATTTATATTCCATTAGAAAACAGTATGGTTATTCAAAGATCTGCTTGAAATATAACAAGTGTCATGCTCCTGTAAAATCTGTTTTATTACCAAATGTCAGAAATGTTCAAAGCCAAATAAAATGACATAATCCCCTTGCACTCACTACTCAACCTTACAAAATCCAAATGTTACTGCATACAGTTTAAAAACTAATGAAAGGATGACAGATACTGTTGAAATTCCTATGTACAAGCCCACCTGCCCCCACCTTCCGGTTTTGTCACAATCAATTGTTCTTCTTGTTTTGAAGTTAACCATCTCTGCATAAGTTTTTATGCAAGCAGTACAAACAAACACAGATAGTATCTAGAATTGCTCCACGTACTTCAGATATAAAGGAATATTTGTGTACTTTTTAAAGTCGTTTCCAAGGTTTTAAAGTTGAGAGAAAAGAAAAACAGGACAGGAAAATTATTTCAGGATGCTGCAGATATCAAAATTTTAAATTCTGCACAAAAACACGAGTCTCATTTTTTTCTTGAAAGAAGGGATTTAAAAAATGAAATTCTACAGCTACAGTCAAGCCAGTTGGAGTTGAAAAGGGAAATGAAGAATCTCTCACCTAAACAAACACTAGCTGAAACTGATATGATATTTCAAAGTATTCATTAGGCAAAGGTGTCCATTCTGAAAAGCAGCTGAGGCCTGGCTAGGCAAGAGAGGTTCATTTCTGATTGGAACAGGATATGCCTGGTCCGAGGCTTCACTTCAAAGTCTCCAGAGTTCAATTAAAACTGGATTAGGTGGAAGCAGACCCTTCTTTGGGACTTTCTGTTCACTGAAACTCTACATACGCTGACAGCACCCTAGACAGAGGTCTAGCCCGCTGATGAATCAGTTGCTATGGAAACGGTATCATTACCATTGCTCTGCAGTTATGACCCCAGGTCCAGAATGGCTTGAAAGCCTGCATCCACAGCCCTCTCTTTGAACGTTTGCCACCTTCATTTATAATTATTATTATTGAATTCAAGTTTAATTTTTTAATGGCCTATTTCAACAAAGCTGGTTTATTAGGTAAGGCTGCATTAAGGGTGCGAGAAGCAAAGGAAATTAGTGTTTTCACACACACATACACACACAGATATACTTGCATATATATAATATACATGTACACATAATGGACTCTTTGCAATTGATTCTTTATATTACAAAATCAAACATAATTCCTGAAAATTATTCAAAGCTGTGCCTTCTGAAAAAGAACATATTATTTTCCCCAAACAATACAAACATTCTTCCTTCTATAATACAGACACTATGCTAAGTAAGAAATTCTTTCACCTTGCTGCATTATCCTTAAAATACTCCTCAATTTCTCAGTATCCATCCAATTTGCAAAAGCTTATCAATCTATCCAGACACAAGTCTGGTTTTTTCATCCTCACTAAAGAAAAAAAGTAGAAATATACATCTATTTTTCAAACTTAAATGGTACTCTTATTGAATAGTGAGCATTTTTTAAAAGTGAAAAAGTTAAAGTGATGTATGTTTTATATAAGTGAAAAGGAAGTTTTGTTTAAAAGACAATAAAGCTATCCTAAA